AGGGAGCCCGATGCGGGACTCGATCCTGGGACTCCAGGATCATGACCTGAGCCGAAGGCAGTCGCTTAACCAACTGAGCCACCCAGGCGCCCCCGTTCTTCTGAAACTTTTTAAAAATTTTTTATTAAAAAACGAAAGATTTGGGGTGCCTGGGTGGCTCAGTCATTAAGCGTCTGCCTTTGGCTCAGGTCATGATCCCAGGGTCCTGGGACCTAGCCCCACATCAGTTTCCCTGCTCGGTGGGAAGCCTGCTTCTCCCTTTCCCTTTGCTCCTGTGTTCCCTCTCTCGCTGTCTCTCTCTCTGTCAAATAAATAAATAAAATCTTAAAAAAAAAAAAAAGAAAGATTTGATTTTTTTAAGCAATCTCTACACACCCAATGTGGCACTCAAACCCACAACCCGAGATCGAGTCACACACTCCACCGACTGAGCCAGTCAGGTGCCCCATCTTCTGAAACTCTTATTAGACATATATTTAACTCCACTGTATCTGCAATGTCTCTCTCTTTTTTTAAAGATTTTATTTATTTATTTATTTGTCAGAGAGAGAGAGGCAGGCAGAGGGAGATGCAGGCTCACTGCTGAGCAGGGAGCCTGATGTGGGGCTCGATCCCAGGACCCCGAGATCATGACTGAGCTGAAGGCAGACGCTTAACCGACTGAGCCACCCCGTCATCCCTCTGCAATGTCTCTTAACCACCCTCCCATATTTCTATCTTTTTGTCTCTCTGTGGTGGATTCTAGATGATTTATTCTGAATAAATTCTTTCTTCAGCTTTGATTTGGCTTATTATCTGTCTCTCCAGTAGAATGTAAACTACATTACAGCAGGGTCCTTGTCTGTTTGGCTCACTGCCGCGTCCTCAACACCCAGAACAGGGCCCGGCACTTAGGGGGCACTCCAGTAAATATTTGTTTGATGAATGAATGCCACCAGATAACTACATCTTATCTTGACCTTACAGGGAACTTCACAGAGCTATACTCTAGAGAGCCTATCCCCCATCGGATCTACAGTTCTCCATAATCAAGGTTGTTAGGGCAAAGCAAATCACGGAGTCAAGATAATAAAATCATCCTGTTTGGGCCTGACTCTGATGAGTTTCCGTGAGAGACTGAGGAAAACGAATTCAAGCAGTCAACACCCAGGAAGCCACTGCACTATCATGAAATAGCCAAAAGGGTGGTGTGTGTGAATCAGAATTCAGCTTCCAAAAGGCAGTTCGGGGGCTACTGAGAGCTGAACAAACAAACTGACTGAAAGTCAAATGTAAGGAAACTATGTGATAGGGGAGCCTGGGTGGCGCAGCTGGTTAAGCGACCGACTCTTGGTTTCAGTTCAGGTCCTGATCTCGGGGTCTTGAGATCGAGCCCCGCGTCAGGCTCCCCGCTCAGTGCGGAGTCTGCTTAAGTTTCTCTCTCCCCCTCCCTCTGCCAGCCCCCCCCGACACTCTTTCTCTCTCTCTAAAAAATAAATAAATCTTAAAAAAAAAACAACAACTATGTGGTAGATAGAATAATGCCCACCCCCCTAACCCCCGCCGATATGTCCACATCCTAATCCCTGAAACTTGTGAATATATGACCTGAATAGCAAAAAAGGACCTTGCAAATGTGATGAAGTTAAGGATTTTGAGATGGGGAGATTCTCCTGAATTACCTGGGTGGGCCCAGTGCAATCATCAAGGTCCTTACGAGTGAAAGAAGGGGGCAGGAGGGTCCGAATCAGAGAAGGAAGAGGTGGGAGCGATACACTTGAGACTCAGCTGCCCACTGCTAGCCTTGCAGACAAGGAAAGAAGCCATGAACCAAGCAATGCAGGCAACTTCTAGAAGCTGAAGAAGTCAGAAAACAGATTCTCCTCCAAAGCCTTCGGAAGGAATGCAGCCCTGCTAACACCCTGACTTTAGCCCAGTGAAACCAATTTTGGGCTTCCATCCTCTGCCACTGTAAGATAATTCATTTGTATTATTTTTCTTAAGATTTATTTATTTGAGAGAAAGCGTGCGCACATGAGCGAGTGGGGGGAGAGGCAGAGGGAGAGAGAGAGAGAAAAGATCTCAAGCAGACTCCGTGCTGAGCGCAGAGCCTGACCCACGGCTCGAGCTCCTCGATCTTACAACCCTGAGATCACGACCTGAGCCGAAATCAAGAATCGGATGCTTAACCGACTGAGCCACCCAGGCGCCCCTAGTTTGTATTATATTTTAAGCCACCAAGTTTGTGGTAATTTGTTACAGCAAAAATAGGAAAGTGATACAGATCACCGATATAAGTAACCTTCAAAGTCCTGTTTGTGATCCAACAGTGTGCAAGAAATCCTTTGGTCTAGGCAAGCAACTTTTTTAAATGAAGACTAGAATAGAAAATCGCAGAATGAATCCCACCTAGAAAAAATCAGTATTACCTGGTGAAACTTTTCTTTGAGATGTATGTGTGTGTTTATATCCACATGTGTATGAACTGCCTCGGGAGGTCATGGTCACAAAAACCTGAAAGAACACTGACCTACAAAAGTCACATTGTTGCCAAGGTCAAGGCATTGGAAACCTATGTGGACTCCGCTGCATTACCAACATCCTCTTTTTGCCGATGAAGAAACTAGGGCCCAGAGAGGTAAAGACTTGCCCTCGGTCACACAGCTCTGATCGGCGGGGCCAGGATTCTAATGCAGGCTTTGCTGACTCCAGGAGGTGAACCTTTCCCCTTTAACCACACCAGCCCCCTTTTGGGATGTGTGGGACAGTGCTAAGCAAGAAACACCCATATTCCCTCTAGAGCCTGAACATAACTCTCCGAGGATGCTTTCCATAAGCCCATTTTTCAGACGAGGAAGCTAAGGCTCAAAGCAGTTCCGATACCTGCCCCTAAGTGGGATCCACGGAGTCTGGTCTCAGAACCCACCTGCTTGTCCAGGGCTCTGGTCTGCTCCTGTAGCTCCTTGACCTCGGCCTGTACCTGGAGCCGGCACTTGAGCAGCTGGCCCATGTTCTCCAGCCTCTCACTGTCCCGCAGCCGCTTGACCTGGCTCTGGGCGACGCTGATCTGCACCTTAAGTTTATCTCGCAACCCCTCCAGGCGCTGGATCTCCTCACTGCCCAGGCAGGGAGGGGGAAAGCAAGCCAGCAAGCGGCAGAGCTCAGAATCACTAAAGGCCAGACTCGGGGCCGGCCCTCCCCCCTTGGAGCCAGGAGCCGGACCCCCAGCCCCCCGAAGAGCCCCCTCCCCAGCTCCGGGACCAAGTAGTGGGCTCACAGTTGCTTGTTGATGCGCTGGTGGACTTCCTTGCTGTAAGCCCGCCTCTCCCCCTCCATCACTTTGCATTGCCGCTGTAGTCTGCTCAGCTCCCAATCCACTGAAGGCAGGACCAGCCAAGGGGCTCAGGAGGAACCCAGTAGGCCCCAGCCCCTTCCTCTCCAGGACCTAGGAATTCTGGCTCCCTCAGGGTCCCGCAAACTGCAGCTGAAGTGCAGACGCAGTCCCCGCCAGCCCTCCAGCTCTGTATCTTGGCTCCTATACCCCTTCCAACTCCTGTACCCCAAGCTGACCTCAGGGTTTTTCCCATCACTCCTGCCCCAGGTTTGGGCACACACTTTCCCACTAGAGGGCGCTCCTGGCAGGCCTCCTGCTCCTCAGGGACCTGCCACATACGATCTGGAACTTGGGAAAGGTGAGGATAGGTGCCAAGAACTGGGAACAGCATTCCAACTCCCTCCCCTACTTCAGCCCCCATCACCCAGCAGTCCTCGGTCCCATCCTCCTTCCTCACTCTCAGCTCATCCTCTAGTCTCAGGCTTCCTTCTGTCCTGCCTGGACCATCACCCCAGCCTCCTCCCCAGCCTCTCGGCCTTTCCTTACAGCCTCAGCGGGTCTTTCTACCCTGCCTCTCCCCGGCTCACAGGCCTCCCTTGGAGCTCCAGGGCCCCCAGGACAATGTCCCAGCTCCTCAACCTGGTGTTCAAGGCCCCCAACGATCTGACGCTACCCACCTCTCGAGTCTGGTCCACTAGCTCCCCGCCCCCCACGGCCCAGTGGCTCTCAACCAGAGATTCTGCCCCGCACAAAGAGTTGGCCATGTCTGGAGGCATTTTTGATTGTCACGATGTGGGGATGGGGCAGGGGAAGGTGCTCATGGCATGTAATGGCTAGAGGTCAAGGATGCTGCTAAGCATCCTACAATGCCCAGGGCAGCCCCCATGACTAAGCATGATCTGACCCCAAGTGCCAACAATGTGGAGGCTGAGAAACCCAATTCTAGCCACATGCTGTTCTCTCTGCTGAAACACTCGTCCCTGCCTGCTCCCACTGGGAACTCCTGGGAGGAGTTCCAAGCCCCACTCAAACTACTCCTCCTGCAGGAAGTCTTCCGGGACTGCCCCACTCCCCAGACTTGGCCTATCCCTCCGCCCTGCTCCACCTCCATTCCCACGCATGTGCGTTCCTTGCTAGAGGGCTCTCCTGGAAGGTCTCCCTGTCCTCAGTGTGCTGCAGCACAGTACCTGGAACTTGGGGAACTGAGGAAAAGAATGAGTGAAAAAAGCAAGACTGTATGAATTACCCATTCCTTCCAGGAAGGCCTCGCTTCCATCCTCCGAGCGGGTGCTCCCTGCAGAGTGTCCCAACGGCATCTTGGCCAAAGCAGGAGGGGCTCCTGTAGGGGTGACACAGGACCGCTTTAGACAGCAAGCAGGAGAGGGCCGGAAGGAAGGTGGGGATGAACCGCGAGGGACTAGGAATTGGAAGGTGACCCCAGAATCAGCTCTGGCCTCTCTTTGAGTCTCAAGTCCTCCAATGGGTTGGAGGGGGACACCTCTCAGGCCTCTCTCCACACCCCTCCTGACCTCCGACCTCTCATATTTTCTGTCTTGTGTTTCCACTCGGACTCACGCCTGCGAGGACAGGCCCCCTAGGCTCTCAGTATTTCTGAGGCGTGGCTGTTTGTGGAGAGAGACACGGAGGAGGGGAAAACCCCGGCCTGCTGTGGGGAGCGAGGCCCGGTCCCTACCTGCTGGAGTGCCTGACCTGTCCCAGGTCCTCCAAGCTCACTGTTGTGGCCTGGTTACTGGGGAGATAAAGGGCCAATGAGGCCTGAGGACAGCGGCCGGGGTGGGACCGAGGCCTCCAGCAGGAGCCGTGGGAGGGGAGGCTGGGGAGGAGGGGCCGGGGCAGCCCGAAGACCAGAGGAAACCTCGGCGGCTGGGTACAGACGGATTGGGGGGCCCGGAGCCCTGCGAGGGGCGGGGCTGGGAGAGCTTGCGGGGGCGGAGCTGTGAGCCTTGAGAGGGGCGGGGTGGGAGGGGCCTGTGAGAAGAGGGACTGGGTGTGCCTTGGGGGGCGGGGCTGGCAGGGCCACGAGGGGCGGGGCTTCAGCGCTTGAGAGGGCCGTGAGACCTGTAAGGAGCACGGCACCTGTGGAAGGAGGGGCTGCGGGGACTAGAGAGGGACCCGGCACCAGTATCCGTAAAGGGCGGGGCTGCGGGCCTTGCGAGCGGTGGGGCAATGGGGGGGGCTGTCGAGGGGAGGGGCACGGGTACCTGCAAACGCCGGAGCATCACGGACCTGCGAGGGGCGTGGTTAGAAGGCCACTGGGCGGGCCTGGTGGGAGGGCGCTGGAAGGAGGTCTGGAAGGCGCTAACGGGGAGCGCGGGGCTGAGGGGCGGGCTGTATGTTTTCGGGAGGGAGAGGCAGGAGCTGAAAGACCCAATGGAGCCAGGGCTGGGAGAGAAACGTCTGGAAGGCTTTGGAGCTAGGCCGAGGTCTTTCGGGACGAGGCCCGAGAGATGTGTGTCTTAAGTTAAGACCACGTTATTTTGAAGATTCATTAGGAAGACGGTGCCGATGCCGCGAGTTGTGAGAGGGAGGAGAGCTCACCGCCAACTCCGGTCCCCGCAGTGACTCACTACGCATGCGCGGCCAACGGCCTCCTGCGAAGCCTCTTGCCTGCTGGGTCCGCGCACTGAGAGGCGGAAGTGGGCGGGGCCGCGAGCTCTTCGTGCCTCCCCCGCCTGGCCACACCCCCTCGCTCCGCAGGGCACGCCTCCTCGGCTGTAGGCTGCTGCCCACGTGGGCCTCCCCGGAGCGGGCGGGCAGTGGGCGCAGCTCCCTGCAGGCTGGGTGTGCCTGAAGCCTGCGGTTTCCTGTGGGAGGAAGCAGCCCGCGGGCGCTCAGCTCGGCTCTTAGCCTTGGAGGCCCAGGAGGGGGAGATCCCGTTACCGCCCTCGGGCTCCCTGATTCTCCCGCTTCCACAGGGTCCTAGCTTGAGGGACCTCCTCCTACGTCCCCCCCCCCCCGCTGCATTCCCAGGGTACCCAAATCTGGCGCTGATTCCACTAGGAAGTTGATTTAGAGTCCTAGCCTCCTGTTTGCTACTTCCCCTCATTCACATTTCCATCTCCCTAGCCCCTGGTTTCCAGACTCCTTCCAGGGCCAGGTCTGGTCCCCTTTGCCTACACTCCATGAAAAGCACATGACCCTCCAGCCTCTAATTTTTCCCTCAGTGACCCAGACTTTCTAACTTCCTTGGGGTTCTGAATTCAGACCCCCCAGTCTCTGTCCCCAGGACCCTAATTCTGTACTCCTAACTCTAGCCTCGGGGCCCAGTGGACCCAAGAATTTTCCCCTTCCCCAAATCCTAGAGACCTTGAACTAGAGTCCCCCAATACTAAATCCATTCAGGGCCCCGGTGCTGGTATAACTAGCCCATACTATGTACTGGACACTCTAAGAACTACCCTATGATGTATTTACTATTATTATCCTTATTTTACAGATAAACTGAGGCATAGAGAGGTTATTAGTAACTTGTCCAAAATCACAGCGAATGAGTACAGCAGCTTGGGTTTGAATCCAGTCCATGTGCCTCTGTAGACTGCTGTACTGGTACCCAATTTCTGGGTCTCCTGAGTACCTGCCTAGTCACCAAACTGCCTATCCCTCACCCCTTCAGGGAGCTGAGATGACCAACCACTCTCCTGCCCCCTAGCTCTGGCCCCATCAAGATAATCCCATCGTCCAGTTTCCTTCCCCTGCAAGAACCTAGGATTTCAGTCCTCCAACTTCTCAATTCCATATCAGGACCCCAGACACCTGGTCCCCTGTCCCTCACTTTTTACCAGCACCCAAACCTTCCAAGAGACCCAGGTGTATAGTAATCACATTCCGCTCTGATTCAATAACTCAACAATAAGTAATAATAATAATAGTAATAATAATAGTGAACATTAAGTCCCTGGTACTGCACTTCTGTTTAAAACCCTCCAGTGGCTTCTCACTGCCTGTAGAATAAAATCCCAACTCCTCCCGTAGTCTTCAAGGGCCCTCTTTGATTTCCCTTCCCTACCACTCCCTCCAGCTATTCCAGCCACACTGGTCCTTCTGTGTGCTCTCCAAACAACCTGAGCTTGTTCTTGCCTCCAGCCTCGCATTTCCTCTTCCTCCAGCACTGAAATGACTCCTGTCCTCAGGTCTCAGCTCAGATGTCACCTCCCCACAGAGCCCTTGTCTGATCACCTTGTTTAAAGTAGCTTCCTCCCACACATCTTTATCACCTCCACTCTATTTTATTTCCTACAAAGCACTTAGCGACCCGTCTGAAATTTATCCACTTCATTTGTAGGTTTTCTCTTTATGGTCTGCCTGCCTCTACCAGGAAAGTAAGCTCCATGATAACAGCAGGCGTCTGTTTTCTTTATTATGACCTCCCGTTTCATAATAGATGTTCAATAAATGTTTGATGAAGAAAGGAATGAACGTGTGGCTGCGTTAGTGTAACGCTATTACCTTATTCATTTTTCTAAAGATTTTATTTATTCATATGACAGAGCGAGAGAGCACATAAGCAGGGGGAACAGCAGTGGGAGAGGGAGAAAAGCAGGCTCTCCGCTGAGCAGGGAGCCCGATATGGAGCTCGATCCCAGGATCCTGGGATCGTCTTTATTTATTTATTTATTTGAGAGCGAGAGATAGAGCAGAGCAGGAGGGAGGGGCAGAGAGAGAAGCAGACTCTCCACTGAGCAGGGAGCCCGATGCGGGGCTCGATCCCAGGACCCCGGGATCATGACCGGAGCCGAAGGCAGACGCTTAACCGGCTGAGCCACCCAGGCGCCCGGGTATTCTTTTTTTAAGTTGTCTTCACACCCAACGAGGGGCTTGAACTCACAACCCTGAGATCAAGACCTGAGATCAACAGCTGGACGCTCAACTGACTGAGCCACCCAGGCGCCCCTGTGGGGAATTTCTTATAATTGAGTATGCTCCTGGTGGGGGCTTTGACTTAGACCCTATCCTCCTGAGTTGTTGGAGAAGTGACTCCTCTTGTATATGAAGCCTCCCTGTTCCAGAGTGGGCAACACCCAGCCGCTCACGCGGTATCTCCCAACTGGAGGTGCTGAGCAGCAGTCCCTGGATGCTCAGGGAAGGTGTGTTTGATGCTGTCATGCCAAGATGCTGTTGTTTCCTGCCCTCCATCATCCTACAAAGTGAACATGGTACCAAGTTATATAGCCTATTGCATCCTGTGAGCATGGATGTCAGGTGGAACTCAAGACTGCTTCTGATGACCATGCCAAGTGGAGGTGACTCCGAATCACAGGGTGTGTCTATCTGTAAATTTAATTGATAATGGGGGAAAAAAAACTTTTCCAAATACATGTGACAATTTATACCCTCAACGGTAGTTCATTAGGAGTTCCCACTTGCTCCTTCTCTCCCCAACACTTGGTATTTGGGGACACTAATTTTTGAACATTTGGTGAGTGTTTAATGGACTCTCATTGTGATTTTCATTTGCCCCTCTCTGATTACTAATGAGTGATGAGTAATTCCGACGTTTATTGGACATCTGAATTTCTTATTTTGTGATGTGTCAGCTCAAATCCTTTGACTATTTTTTAAAATTGGGCAGGCACCTAGGTGGCTCAGTTGGTTAAGCGTCTGCCTTCAGCTCAGGTCATGATCCCAGGGGCCTGGGGTCGACTCCCACATCAGGCTCCCTACTCCAGAGGAAATCTGCTTCTCCCTCTGCCCCTCCCCCCCATTCATTCCCTCTCTTTCTCTCTCAAATAAATAAAATATTTCATTTTTTATTTTTTTAAATAAAATCTTTTAAAAAAATAAGTAAATAAATACAATCGGGCTGACTCTTCAATAATTTCTAGGAGTTCCTTCTATGTTCTTGATACTAGTCCTTTGTCAGCTACATGTGTTGCAAATAACTTTCCATTCCATGACTTTGCACACTCTTTTAACAGAAAATAACCTTAAAGTCCTGGGAAGCAAATCTTTTCCTTTAGAAGTAGAGATTTCTATAACTTATTTAAGAAATCCTTCCCCACCTTCACACATTTAGATCTCTGGTCCATCCAGAATTAGTTTTGGGGGTACAAGGTGAGGTAAGGGTCTGGTTTCATCTTACAATATGAATATCCAATTTTCACAGCGCCACTATTAGAGTCCTCTTTTTCCATTTCTTGAAGTCATACGTCAAGTGTCCCCATGTGCATTGGTCTCTTTCAGGGCTCTCTCTTCTGTCCCATTGATCCATTTGATTAGCTCTGCATCAATTACAAGAATTTTATAATAAATCTTGATAAATGATAAAGCAAATCCTTTCACACTGTTCTTCTTTTAAGTCAGTCTAAGTCATCTTGTCCATTGCACTTCCATATAAACCTTAGAATCTGCTTGTCAACTCCATCCATTCAAAAAAAAGAAAAACTTTCAGTACTTTGGTTGGGATTACATTGAATCTATAAATCAATTTGGAGATCTGACTTTTTATGACACTAACTCTTCCAATCTATGGATAGATCTCTACATTTATTAAGCTCTTCTTTACTATCCCTCAATAAAAGATTACAATTTACTCCATAGAGGTCCTGCACACTTTTGTTAGATTTCTTCGTAGGTACTTCTTTTTGGCTATTATAAATGTGTATTTTCTTCTTTTATTTTGTAATAGTTATTGCTAATACAGGGCAATATCATTAACTTTGCATATTAATTCTGTATCCAGCCACATTGTTAAAATACCTATTAATTACAATAAGTTGGTGCTAGATTCTTCTGGATCTTCCACGTACACAAATACATGATCTACAAACAATGACAATTTCATTTCTTCCTCTCCAATGTTTCCATTGTTTTTTTTTTTTTTCCTTTTCCTGGCCATAGGGCACCAGATAGAACCTCTAGTACAATGTTAAATACAAAGTGGTGCTAGCTGACATCCTTATATTGTTACTGATCTTGAAGATAATCGTTTCCATGTTTTGTTATCAAATATGATCTTTTCTGTCGATGGCTTATAGTTGCCCTTTGCCAAATTCAGGAAATTTCCTTTTATTCCTGGTTTCCTAAGAGTTTTTAGCATGAATGGATGCTGAATGTTATCAAATACTTTTTTATTTCTACATAGAACGGTGCTATAAACAGGTACAAGTCCAAGGACCGTCTGTCATCAGTCTTTGATGTGATAGGCTCAGAAAATCAGAGTAAGCATTTAAGCAAGCATCAGAAATGGTGTTTTGGGGTGCTGCTGAATGTATGTGTCAAGTCACATAAAGCACAAGCCTTATAAAAGTAGCAGTCAGGGGGCGCCTGGGTGGCTCAGTCGTTAAGCGTCTGCCTTCGGCTCAGGTCATGATCCCAGGGTCCTGGGATCGAGCCCCGCATCGGGCTCCCTGCTCCGCGGGAAGCCTGCTTCTCCCTCTCCCACTCCCCCTGCTTGCATTTCCTCTCTCACTGTGTCTCTCTCTGTCAAATAAATAAATAAAATCTTAAAAAAAATAAAAATTAAAAATAAAAGTAGCAGTCAGTAGTAGATTGGAAATTTTAAAAGTTGGTCCATTAACACATACAGTTTGTGAAAAACTACGTCAAGTTTACCTTTTTTTTTTTTTGCCAGAAAATGTCTATTCTCTCTCATTCATGGATGATATTTTTATTGGGTATAAATTTAAAGATTTTATTTATTTATTTGAGACCGAGAGAGAGCAAGAGAAAGGACAAGCAGGGGGAGGGGCAGAGGGAGAGGGAGAAGCAGGCTCCCCGCTGAGCAGGGAGCCCGACATGGAGCTCCATCCCAGGACCCTGAGATCATGACCTGAGCTGAAGGTAGATGCTCTACTGACTGAGCCACGCAGGTGTCCCTGGGTATAAGATTCTAAGTTGACAGTTTTCCCTCTTAGAACAGTGAAGTTATAATCTATCTTCTGATTTCCAGTATTTCTTTTAAAAAATCAGCTGTCAGTTTAATTATGGCTCCTTTGGAAGTAATATCTTATTTTCTGGCTACTTTTATATTCTGAAATTTCTCTATCTTCTATATAAGTGGATTTTTTTTTTTTATTCATCCTGTTTTGGACTCTAAGGCATCTTTGAATCTATGGATTTGTTCTTTCATTGGTTCTGGAAAATTCTCAGATATTATCTTATTACACATTATCTCTGTCCCATTCTCTTCCCATTCTTCTGAAACTTTTTTTTTTTTTTTTT